TTGGAGCCTATTTGGTGGCACTGTTTGGTGAGATTTAGGAGGTACAGCCTTGTTTCAGGAAGTCACTGGATGTGGACTTTGAGAATTTAGATCCTCTATGTCATTTCCAGTTCAGTCTCTATGAATGGTGCTTGTGGTTCAAGATGTGACTGCTCAACCTCCCCCTGTTCGTGCTGCCACACCTCCATGATTCCCTCCCTCCATGATAGATCTGACCCCTGTGGAACTGTAATTCCAAATAAACCCTTGATTGTATAAGTTGGCTTGGTCATGATGTTTTATAACATCAATTCAAAAGTAATTAATGCATAAAACAAATGACCTTTTTTTCAATGAACAAATATACATACCTCATATACTCACCAACAGATAAATACAAGCAGTGTAAATGCCAAAGGCAGAGAAATATCAACCACATAACATTTAAATTAATAATACAAACCATCTGCTGAACCAGAATTATTTCTCCCTTCTAGAAACCACTTCCTACATCATCAATATTAACATATAATCATACTATAAACCCCAATGCAGCCAAGAGTTGCCACAAACTTGCCTATGAAATGTACACTCTCAAATACCCATCAGATATACACATCCATGTTTATTTGCTTTATGTATACTAATTCAACCATATTTACCATGTATAGAACATCAGAAAACCTTCATCCAAACTGCCATGTCACTCTAGTAAACATTTTGTTGCCTAAACATTCTCCACACAAAAATCTGGACATATATAGAAAATATAAACATTCATAAGCCATACAAGAAAATGTAAACTCATTTCTCATAGATTTCTCCACATACATCAAACATAATATAACACTACAAATGTGCAAATACATCTGCCCACAAATGTGGAATCTCAACACTTGCATAAATGAGATGACATACTTTGAATATCCACAAAGAAATAAATCCTCCCTCTGCCAAATATAGAACCACATGAATCTGGCACTACAAGTGTACAAACCATTCTACATTCTACAAATCCCATTCTAAAAAAAAGAAAAAAAAAACTGGTCACACACCTGCCTTCACATGCTAAAATCACAGTAGACAAATCCCATAACCATCCATGACATTCCAAATATACAAATAACCCTACATTTTCCCAATAATATTCTCCCTTTTGTATTGCCTCATAAATACACACAATTTCTTAATATTGTCCACATGCACTTATTTCTTCCCCAATGTGAACACATTTCTTCCAAGCTCTACGACAAACGAAAGTATCTCAACTTGCAAGGGAAAAAAGAAATAAAATATTCTGAAAATCAAATTATAAATACCTAATCTGAAACCAAGGTTAACTCACATTGTCTACATATAAAAAATCTCTACACACTTCCAATATTCCCTAATTACAAATATCTAAACAAAGACCATCCCCCACATGAGAATACATATATTAGATTCTCACCACTCATAATGGAAAACTACATACTCATAATTACTCCAAATTTTATGTCCTAAACATTATACAGCAAATCATAATACTCTGAGTATCTCCCCCATAAAGTCATCAAGCACACCACCAAATTACACACAAAAAAATCACCCTCCAATTCTCATTTCCGAAAATCACACACACATACAGACACACACACACACACACACACACACACACACACACACACACACACTCACGTAATAGTTGAATACAATTTAGTAATAAAATAGTCTTTGCTGTAATTTCCTTTTACACATCTGATTTTCAAAGAATGGTTTTATTATTACTATTATTGTCACTCTTAAGTTCCAAAAGGAGATACAAGGCTGAATTTTTTTTCGAGGCAGGGTTTCCTCTATGCAGCTTTGGAGCCTATCCTGGCACTCACTCTGGAGACCAGGCTGGTCTCAAACTCATAGAGATCCGCCTGCCTCTGCCTCCCGGGGGCTAGGATTAAAGGTGTGAGCCACCAACGCCCAGCTACAAGGCTGACTTTTAAAGGCCAGTTATTCAATTGTGGAAAGTCACAGATATCAATGGCAACTAAAAGAGCTACAACACTACAACATGAAGGTTATATTTCTGGATGATATCTATGCTTATGTGTCAAAATTCGCCCATTTTCAACAACATGAGAAATTTGTTTGCTCAACTGAGTAATGATTTCCAACACTTAGTAAGCTTCCTGAGATTGTAAGGGACATGGCTGAGGTACACTTTCAAAGTTCACACCTCATATATTAACTCTGCCCATCCACCCCCAACACACACACATCAAAAACCAGACAGCCTACAGAATGATGTTAAGAAGCCCTGGTCTGGGCACTTGCCAATGCCAGTAGTATAAAAACTCCCAGGGTTCAGGCCAGCCTCACGAAGGTCACAATGCCTGCAAGATAAAAAGAAATAACTGTCAAGGGCCAGCAACAGTGGTGACTGAATGCCCAGGAAGTTAGGCTCAACTTTCCATTACCTATTTTTATGTAACTGATTCTGAACACTGCCATATTCAACAAACATTAAGAGGTATATGCTTGCTCCAGCATCCTCCTTGCTTGTGCCAGTGAGCTCGTTCTGTGCTGAGCAATTGTGTCTCATAGAGAGCATATGCAGGGAGCAGAGGGAGGCTGGAGGAGCTTGAGCTGGAACTCCAATAGTATGTGCAACAGGAGTACTCAGGAAAAGCATAGAACTTTGCAGAAGAGGATAATAATGCTTGTGGAGTGCCGCCCACCTCCCTCCTGGCCTCCTCACAGAACCTGGACACCCATCTCTCCTTAAAAGCAGTTATTATAGACCTTCCACGAATGCATTTATCATCCTTACCCTAAGCTGTTAAAGAGGTTTAGTTCTTCAGATGGCATGTTTCCTTTGCACCATTCAAAAATAGTAGCATGTTCTCTCCCATAATTTCTGAAAGCTCCCATAAAGAACACTGGTAGCCAAAATTTTAAAAAAAATCAGACCCAGGAGACACTCTGAGACATGATTAACCTTGACTCTGCCTCTAGGTCCTTCCTACAACATCCACTATATTAAAATCTTTTTCACAAGGAGAGCTCTGCTAATAAATGTCAGTTCACATATGTTTCTTATGAAATTGGTGTCATCCTACCTTTAATTGACACTTGATAGTCTGGGTCCCTCTGAACCTCTCTTCTGGCCCAAACACCTGCCACATCAGGAACACTACTGTCTCCTACCATGGAGGTAGGGCATGCACTCAACAGCTTCTGTGGCAGCTCTCTGGATTCTGAGTCCACCTCCCTCCTCAACTATTTCCTAGCAACCCTTCCTGTCACAACATGAGACACAATGTTAACTTAGGAACCAGACCACCTTTCTTTAAAGGGGTGCTACAACCATGACCCCACACTGAAAGGCACCTGCACCTTCAGTTACGATGCTTTATCATCATCAGAAAATATCACAAGCCAAATGCATGCTTAATTTACCAAACATTGAAGCATTGTACCTAGCCTGACCCACCTTATTCATGTTCAGAACAGACACTATCCTATAATGGAACAAAATCATCTAATGCAAAGTTCTTTTTGTGATAGAATATCTAACATTTCATGCTACTTAAAGCCTGCACTTGGTATCTTCTCAATTAGTGTCAAAAACTTCCAATATGCAAGATGCAAGCTTACCACAGTGTAGAACATTTGGGACTTTTACCAAACATGCATTAATGTCATCTCCAGTCAGTGCAATGGTCATACAAATGCAAATATTATGTGTTGTGAATGTCTTTTGCTTTAGCATCCTAACATTAACAATTCCTAGAGTGAATTCTATTAATTCAGAGATGCAACAAGGAAACATGATTGAAAGGACACCGGCATATAAAAAAAACCAAGATGGAAGCCTACAGCTAGTGAATCCAGGATCATATTGGTGCTAGGAATGAGGTAGGTGCATGCACACATAAAAATCAGTATTGGGCAATGGCAAATGGAACCTTGGCTTTGTCAAAATGTACACAGGTAATGGGTTTCTATGCCTGGAAAATGGGGGAATTGAGCCTCTGTGTTTTGGAGTAGAAGGATGTTTTCTCTCATCCTCTCCCTCTAATTTAACACTGTTCCCATTGTGAAGCTCAGGAGGGGCAATTTGTCACATAAAGTTTCACATTATTATTTTGTGTTGGAGAACAGATTTTTAATTGTCAAATATCTGTTTGCAATAAAAGGACTCAATACCACCGATGCAAAGAGAAGTATTTTCAATTTGAGTCCCATGGGCTACTTATGCAGAACAAAGCCTTGATGGGCTGGGGAGTCTAGCAAAAAGGTGACTGAGACTATCATGCTGCAGGGTACAGATATACCAGCACTGCCCTGGCTGGACACACAAGGACTGCTTCATAAAGAATGATATGCACACTGCAGGATGATCCAAGGATCTCCCAAGATCATAATTACAAATATGTCTATCTCTGTTGCTTAGACCCTCTATATTTGTCTGAATATATAATTGGTTGAGTAAGTGTAAACATTGTAAAAATACTCATGATGCAGGATGATCCAAGGATCTCCCAAGATCATAATTACAAATATGTCTATCTCTGTTGCTTAGACCCTCTATATTTGTCTGAATATATAATTGGTTGAGTAAGTGTAAACATTGTAAAAATACTCATGAGCCTACAGTCTCTAGGAGTGATTTGGGACTCTGGATTGAGGAATAAAACAAGTTCTACTAAAGAAGAAATGAAGGAAGAGGGCACTGGTGACCCCATTGTGCTGTGACTGTCAGAAACCATTAAAATGTTCGTAGAGGCAAACACCACATATGTGAAATCACCTCCAACAAGGATGCATCATTTAAAATGACGCCAAGGTTCTCATGTACCTGCCGCAACCCCTCATGGAATGTCCCCTGCACTGTTTAACTCTCTGCCCCTCCCCCACTGTAGAATGCTCAATGCCATGTTCTTAAGCAGTTTACTTTCAAAATTTCAACAGTGTGGCTGGCTCTCTTGAGACTCTGGCACATATTGGTGACTCTTGGCGTGAATCCTCTGAGATTGATCACCATGGATCCTAGCAAACAGGCATGGTTACTGTCCAAACCTGTAGGAATAACTTCAGAAGGTAAGCCTGGAGTATCAGAGTGTGGTACTTGAGTTCCTGCCACTGGCAGTTTAAATCTGTTACTAGCAATGAGTGACTAGACCAAGGGAGTGTGTGGGAAACAGCTCTGGACTTCTGAAAGGACATCTCACCTTGGAAGCTAACAAAGCTTATGGCAGGATGAACAGAGCCCATGGTGGAACTAAGTTGACAAAAGCAAGCACACTTGATCAGAAGATACAATGACAGGCCCTAGACTGGCTCTTCCTGTGTGGCAGGCAGGTCTACTAAGCACAGTTTTCAGATGTGGTGGAATGGATCACTCTGGTGTCCCAGGGAAGGTTCAGGGGAACAGTTGAGCTCTGGGTAATTTTTCCAAGCCCCTGGAACTTGTGCTATGGATCTCAGAAATTTAACTGTGCCAGCTCTGGGTCATATTTCCAAGCCGCTGGAACTTGTGCTATGGATCTCAGAAATTTAACTGGGCTACCCTAGAACTTAGAAGGACAATGCAGAAAAATGGCTAGGCAGGAAATAGCCCAGTCTGGTCATCTCTGGGAATGGAGGTTACTCTACCAACTGGCAGCCCAGAGTCGCTCATGCCTTCCCACGGAGCAAGGCTTCTCCATCACCAGGTATTTGATGTCTTCAGAAGCACAGCAGTTAGGAAACATCAACTAATAAAGAAATGGGTGATTGCTCTCAACTTTTAGACCTACTTGTTTTGGTAAAGCTTGAGCAGAACCTTGGCAGATTCCATGGCAGTTGAGGGTGATAGTGGCAGAGGGACAAACACACTAGGCAGACAGAGGTGCATGAGAAGTTTTATTAGAAAATCGTGTGGGAGAAAAGAGGTAAATTGACACAGACATAGAGACTCAGAGAGGACATAAGAGCAGAGGGAGACAGGAAAAGTCCTGTGTTCCCCAAGGGAACAGAGAGAGAGAGAGAGAGAGAGAGAGAGAGAGAGAGAGAGAGAGAGAGGGAGAGAGAGAGCGACTAAGAATCAGAGAGCAGAAAGACAGCAGGAAAGAGCGGGCTGGAAAGAGATAGTAAGTGGGCAGAATTCTTTCTTTTAAAGGGGTTTTTGCACCTGGGCTGACCGGGGCACTGCCTGAGATCATTCTGCTGGTGACAGGTACAGGCCAGCATAATGCCTGAATCGTTGCACTACTTTTTAAAATATCAGTTTAGAGGTGTTGTCTTGGGAGTACGTGTGCAGTTCTCTTAGAACATCATGTAATAGACAGGAAGCCTCTCTTCCCCAATGCTACTTTCACTCAGGGAAGGGACCTGGACTGCTGTTGGTTTGGTTGTGTTCTGAAGTGGTTGGATCCTTTTCCTGAGGCTTTAGAGAGAAGCAGTTGTCTTGGATCATGTTCTGTGTTACTGTTAATCAGATCAAGGACATGTGCAAGCTTTTTGGACTTGGCTCTCTGTGAGGGGGGCCCTCCTATGTCTCTACTTAACAGAAATAATTTCAAATAACATATTCCCACTTGGCACCTGGCTCATGACTATACCCAACCCCAAAAGCATTCATTTATATTGACTATACACAACCCCCAAAGTATTCTTTATATTGGTGGGAGCTCACAAGTAAAGGACCACATGTGGTTTTCATTTCATGGCCAACTGTGACAATAACAGTGACTGTGATAATACACAGAAATCCCCTGTCAGACCCTCCAATCTCCACTGCTGGGCTTGCAAGGACAAGATACCAGGGAACTGCATAGGTATCTTACATGAAAGTGCTGTGAAACATCTCCCAACCACAGTGTGGATCCATGTGGATCTGGGCAGTGTGGAACTGCCAGAATCTATCCCATTGCAGTTCTCTGTGGGAGGCATTAGGAGAGGGAGGAGCAGGATGGGTAGTACATGCTACGGGGTTGCCTCCAGGATACCTGAGTTCTGGCTTGGAGGGTAGCACAGAGGTGGTTTTGGTTTGCAGTGCTGGACTGGAAAGGGAAGGGGGTTTGAGAATGTGGAAGGAACACTCAGAAGCGATTGAGGTCAAAATATTTAAAACCTGCCACCTTTACAGAGGCCCTTCTGGAAAATCGCCCTCAATGATGGTGCCTTGCCTCCCGCAATCATCATTACTGGTTAATGGTCCAGACACAGTCACACTGATCCATCTCTAGCGAGAGAGCTAGAACGCTGATGAGTTTTCTGCCAGGGATTCCCAAAAGAGTCTCTCAGGGGTGGAAAAGCTGTGGGCTCCTCTCCACAGCTGCATCAGGGAATGTTGGAGAATGGAGAGGAAGATCTCTGCTGAAACAATGCTCAGTCAAATGAACCCAGCATGGAATTCCCTAGGGGACATCTGCAACCAGAACAATTTCCTCGTCCCCATGACCCTCCCCCAATTACCACTGACTACCAGGACCAGAGACCTGCCCTCCTGTTTCTCTTTATCTTTCCAGCATCTTCATTGGGACAGAACATGACTGTCAACCTCGATGCCGCCATGTCTACATTTGCTACCCTGCCTGTCCTCCCACCTGCCCCCCAGCCAACACTTCAATTATTCTGGGAGCCCCAAGAGCCCCTCCTGACTGGAGGCATCTCTCCCTGGAATCCACTAGTGTTATCTGCCTTGCCTGGGATGTCTTTGGTGGCAGAAGATGGAAGTACGACCCTAGGTACAGCTGTACCTCTGAACATTGTGCAAATTGGGACAACAGGCAGGCCTGTACAGCCCATGCCCAATGCCAACCTTTTCCTCACTCAGGTGTCCCTCAATTGTAATGTCCCTGTGACCCAAGGTGGGGTTATTGGGTGCCCTGCTTCAGACTTCATGACAACACATGAGGCCAATACCTTCATAAATGCTCAAATTGCTTCGGCCTTCCAGCACCAAGAAGTATTGTGGGTCCTGGGTTCTCACCCTCCCACAACACAGCCAGTTGTCCAGTTGGTTCCTGTCCAGTCCCCAGTGAACTCAGCACCACCTCCAAAAGGAGCAGTTGTAGAGAGTGGACCAGCCAACGTTCAAACCAACTCCACAGAAAACTGCTTGTCCAAACCAGACAGCGTCTATGGGAATATCCGGCGCTGGCAGCATATCAAGACTCTGGTCCAGCGGCACCTGTCCCAGACTCCAGACGTGTCAGCTTTCTCCTGCTTCCTCATGTGAGTGTCACCTGCGCCTGGGATGTCCTACTGGGCTCCAACATGATGAGTGTGTGGTGGAAAAGGAAGGTGGTGAAGGTAACAGAACCACTCCAGAGTCACAATCTGAGAAATAGAGGTGTCACATGGGGGATCCTGGAGTCCCAGAAATCTAGGGTTTGGATTTATGCCTTTCACTCCATTTGGTAGTTCTTTGCCTTAGCATTTTAGCTTCTAGCATTGACCTTAGTGTTTAGGGACCACAGCATGTCACAACCAGGATGGGGAAGAGTGCTGGACTCCAGAAAGACCTGTACATTTGTCCCTCACCCCACCGTTTAAGGAATTTCCCTTAAGCCAGAAAGGTTCCAGACCTTCCCTGGGGAAACTTTTGGTCTTGTTGCTCCATGTTTATCCTCAGCAGTAATTTGCAAAATTTCCCCAGTCATTGACCCTAGGATCCAGATAATTCTCTTTCTTTTTGCCATCAGCTCAGTCACATCACCAGGTAGACTAGACGACTAAATCTACAGGCACTGTTATCTCACACTCCTGGACACTGGAGACCCAGACAAGACCTTGAAGAGCCAGTTCTGATGCAGTCTCCATGGCTGTCTCACAGTACTAAAAGAAAAATTGGGGAGGCCTCTTTTCCATTCCAAGAAGAGCACTATCCCATCCTGAGAGCCCCACATTATGAAATAAGCTTGGTTACAAACCAAGGCCCCATTTATAATGACTTTCACTTTGATTTTTTCACCCCAACTTCCATGTGGGGAAACTAAGTCTCATTCATTTTTCCACGCACAGTGATAGAAGGAGACTCACATGGCAGGCTGGGAAATAGACATAGATCTTTGTGTTGATGTCTGCTGCATGGTTATTAGTTTCTAGAAGCTGACTTTATTCTGACTCAAGTTTATAGATGCATCTTGGGCAGGGTCTGCTGGTTCAAGATTATTTTGGTTGAGTGGTTCTAATGAATTACAGTCCAGTGCTTCGGTCCCTGGCCCAAAGGAAGCCCACCATGAATGTGGAGGAGGGCCTGTGGAGGGGTCTGCAGGAATGGCAGTGTACAAGCAACTATGACCGGATGATCTTCTTTGAGATGGCTGAAAAGTGAGTCAGGGGAACTTTGAAGCAGGGTGTGAGGAGAACTGTTTAACATGGATGGGCCTTTTAAGTCAGGATTCTGGAGGAGGGTATATGTTGGGGGTACTCCTCAGGTGGAGCTTGGTCTGGTGAGTTTGTAACCCACACACTGTGAGGAGGATTACCCAATACTTGGGCCCCTGGTGGTAATCCATGAGGTCCACAATCCTGTTCTCACTTCCTTGAGTGCTGGGCTACCTGCCCCATGGTACCATCATTTATGACCTCATTGGCCATGAATCTATCCCATGCCTTTCTTTTGAAGGTCAGATTTGAAAAACTGACCCATTCCAGCCCTGTCGTGTCTCCTCCAGCACTGTGGATTGTATAATGCAAACATGCTCTACAAGTCTTAAGTTAACTACCTGGTACCAAACCACTGCTTTTTGACAGTAGAGACTACTGCATCCCAATAGGAGTACCTGGAGTGTTTGTGAACAGAATCATGCAGAGAGTAAGGAAGACTCTTACATATCTGAGGACATGTCTCTGGTCTTCATGTCTTTGATCAGTGTGATACTGTCATGCACACAAGCCAACAAACAGCTCTCAGAAGGAAGCAGCCACATCTCTCAGTTTCCCTTCTACTTTCTCCTGGCATCTCCCAGGCCCTTGTCTCCCAGTTTATTCCAGCTCTCCCACCCTCAGCTTCAGCATCTCTGGATCTTTTTCAAGATCCCTGATGTATTTCATCAGTCATATCTGTGGCCATGTAGGTTTCTGTGTGGCTCTAGGCAAGGTCAAGATAGGCCTTAAGTAAGAGTCACATGAAAACCCTGTTTGGGCCACCTCAAACTTTTTTGATTCCCACAAATACCAAGGTACTTAGTGTGCCCACAGAGCTGTGGTTATGTTCCAAGATCAGCAACTTCATGGGACTATACCAGATAATCCCAAGACCCTGAACACAATGTAATCTTAAGTAATCTCTTGGTTGGGTCCTGCCCTCCCTCATCCTTAGGTTTAAAGAATTTGAGAATGCAGAAGAGAAGGAGAATTCAAGGCTGGAGTTCGAGAATTCAAGGCTGGAGATGACGAGAAGTATCAAGTGCCAAGTTCTTACAACCACAAGGCAAGATCCTCCAAGGTTCCCAGCTCCTGAGGTGTTTGAGGAACCAGGTAGGGATCACATATCTTTAGGTCTCTATGCAGAGGTGAAATCAGTCAAAATGTGTTTTTGCCCTGAACATAGGCTTCTTCCTTCAGGTTAGGGCATTTTCTATGTAGCCTGGGGGACCTTGCAGCCCTTAGTCTTGAACTGGGTAATCATTAAGCTGGCCACCATCATTGATTCTCTCTGTTCTTACTCTCTAAGGACACAAACACCTTATGATCAGGACCTGGCCACTGAGTTTGGAGCGTACCTGAAATATTGGTGGCTCCAAATACTCTCCCACATGACTGTCCTAGACATATCAACAATTTGCAATGTCCCCTCTCACAGATCTTTAGGTTCGGCTTGCCCTAGGCCATCGTGGTTTCTCTGAACTATGGTCTACATAGCATGATAGGGTGGAACTAAACAATATCTATCTATCATAATGTTCTCCTATCTCTTAGTGTGTAACTCCATGAAGATTGGTTCCATTACTGACCCTGCCTGCCTCCCAGTATTTAGACACAGGCAATTACAAAAGACTGAGGCAACCATGGAAATTCCACCTGAAGCCATGCAGGAGTACATGGATATTACGGACTGGCTAGAGAGGCCTCCACAGTCAAACACAGGAAACCCCACAGAAAAAGAGCAAGAGGAGAACAGTGAGCCGGAGCAGGAAGAAGATGACTTCTACTCAGATGCAGGAGTCCTGAGTTACATTGATGAGCTGTGCTCCCAAAAACACTTCGTTGACCAAGTGAGCTGCACCTGGAGCCATGGTGTGGGCCAGATTCTGAGTTTGGCATCCCAGTCCTTGTAACTGAGCCTGCTTCCCTAAATTCAGGGCTCTCTCTATGTCTCTGTCTGTCTCTCTCTCCATATATATATATATATATATACCCCAGTACTCAATCTCAATTCTTCTCTTTCTGTTTATAGGTGGAGGACATAATACACCCCCAATTTGTGGCAGAAATCCTATCTTCCAAGCCAGAGATTGACATACTGTCTCTAATGAAGGATCTGGAGTATGAGGAAGAATTCAGTGTTGAGCAGGTAGCTAGGGCATGGTGAACACCAGGGACAACAAAAAAGAAGTGATGTGTAGGCAAGAGGCAAGCAGACACCAGGCAGACAGGATACAGGGAGACATTAGGCAAACTGAGTGGGGCAAGGAGGACCCCAAATAGAGTGGGGTGCTGAAGGACACCATGTGGACAGGGAAAGGAGAGGATCCTACTCATAAGAACCATGTGACCTATAGGAAATTAAAGCATCCTGCCTGGGGCTTCACCCAGAAAGGGATACTGGTATGGACATGAGGAGGGGGTGAAAGTGCATAGCAACAAGGAACCAGGCAAGTCAGCCAGCAGACCCTCGGTCTCTGACACAAAGAGACAGCTGACTATCCCCTTAGCTACCTGTACCCAAATATTTTGCCCCCTGAGCCTTCCAGCCTGGAATGAATCTTATATACCCCTTTCCTCCTGCAGCTGGTAGAAGAGAACTGCATGGCTTTGAAGAAGAAAGGCTGTAAGAGGGCAACTCTGAAACCTGGTGCCCCTCAGATACTTTCCAATGCTTCATTTCCAACTGTCTGTCAAGATGCAAAGAGAGAAGGCCATGGTCCCCAAAGAGGGACCAGTGCACAGAAACGTTCCTCACTGGTGCCTTCTTTAGATCATCAGTTTCCTGGAGCTACCAATGCAGAAATATGGGGGCCTAGTCCTACTGTCTTCCAAAGTAGTCAGTGTTTACCCTCACTGGGAGACCTCAGTTCCACTGTTATTACCTATGGCAGAGGAGCCCATCCCCAAAGCCCAGGGTCCAGATGTGCAATGAGCCTCAGAGGAGTTTCTGCTATGGAGGAGTTCCAGGAGGCACTGGGCAGAACCATTGAGGACAAAGAGGAGATCCCCAGCTTGTCCTTCCTCCTGTGTTCCCACTATAGTCTGGTGCCATGGAAACTGTCTGGCTATTTGTGCCCCTATACAGGTCTCTCTGACTCTGCTAGTATCCCCAAACCCTTATCTCCAAGGATGAGGGACCTCAGTCCAGATCCATCTTCAAATGACAAGTCAAATAAGCCAGCTCTCATTGGAGGCTTGACTCCTATGGCTAAGAGGTCTAACTCAGGGCTTGGTCATGGGATATTTGAAGGGCCACTCTCAGCCCTGGGGCTCACTCACTCTTTGCAGGCACAGAAGTTTGACTCACTAAGCACAAGGAAGAGGAAGAGGAAGAAGTGGCACTGTGTCACCTGTGGGATGTCCCGTCAAAGCAGGCAGAGTTTCACTCTGCCTCCACCCTGCACCCCCATACCAAAAATGAAAAAGAAAACACACTGAGCTCCTTCTCAATCAGGGATGATCCAGCTGTTGCTAAGTAGTAGAAGGCTAGAGGCACTGGGCAATAAAGCCAGGGATGAGGGGTGGGGCAAGGAATCGGAGGCTATTATCACTTTAGATGTTTGTAAGATACAGCGAATAAATACAGTTTTGTTGAAAATGTTGTAAGGGACATTTCTTAAGGTTTCTATTGCTGTATTTCTATTGCTATATACCATGACTACAGCAACTCTTATAAAGGAAAACAATTATTTGGCTTGCCTACAGTTCAGAGGTTTATACCATTATCATCATGGCAGAATGCAGGCAGACATGGTGTTTGAGAAGGAACTGAGAGTTTGACATCTTGATCTACAAGGAAAAGGAAGGGAAATGTCTCACTGGGCATGGCATGAGTATATATGAGAACTCAAAGCCCACTTCCACAGTGACACACTTCCTCCAACAAGGCCATATGTCCTAAGAGTGCTCCTCCTTTTGGGCTAAGTTTTCTTTCAATCCACCTCAGGCTGCTAATTACATACTGATGTCTGAACTGCTACATGGAGTTCAGGGATAGTGAGGGAAAACCTGGAGATGCTGCACTCTAGGGTGCATAGGTGCAGACCCAGGACTTTCTCTAGACTTACCCTCTCACCCTGGGAGAATGCAGCAGACCAACAGCTCTCAGAATCATAGGCCTTGCCCTCTCACAAAGCCTCACTGCTTACAGGGACTACTTGGAACACATAATTATTATCTGTGTCCTCAAAAACCTTCACAGCCTGCAGCCTTGTGGACCATTACCCAGCTTCTAGAATTAGTCTAGCAATTGAATTTTTGTGCAGTAACTCAGGGATCATTTTTCTGCTCCCATAAAGACATTGGTGGCAAGACTAATCCAGTCCTCAGCAAGCCAGGGACATCTTGAGTGTGTGGGTGGTTCTAGGAAAAGTCCTGGAATATAAAGAAAAGGGGCAGTAGTGGGCTGGGGAATTTTCAGCCAGCCATCATCTTACACATCTACAAACACCATGCTCTCTGACAATGACAGGAAGAGTCTGTTGCTTGACTCGTTTTTGTGGACTCTGTTATTTTTTTCTTTATTGAGGATTGAGCATAAAACTCTCTATGTGCTAGTCAAGCATTCAACTGCCAACCTCAATCCCCAGATTCTCTTATTTTTTGAGACAGAATCTTCCTGAGTTATGATAGTTGGCCTTGAATTCTTAGTCCTAGTGCTTCCTTGTCACTAAACAACAGTGAAATCTCCCCCATGAGGACAGGAATCAAATTCCTAGTAAGTGCAATAAGAGGAATGGGATATGATGCATTGCTTTCTCCTCATAGTCCATTGTTGTGACACAGTATGCCAGTTCTTCATGATGTGCTGAAGGAGAACCACAGAAGGAGAAAACACATGAGTCAAGTGTCTTACCTTTCCATTCCTGTGATAAACACCATGACCAAAACCATCTTGGGGAGGAAAGGGTCTATCTTTCAGCTTACATTTAATCATGCAGGGAATTCAGAGAGGGAACTCAAGACAGGAAACTGAAGGCTGGAGTTAAAGCATGGGCTAGAGAAGAATGTTGCTTACTAGCTTGTCCCTCATTGCTATCTCTGCCTTCCTTTCCTACAACCCACTTTTCAGAGATGGCACAGCCCACAGGGGTTCAGGCCCTCTCACATCTATCATTAATCAAGAAAATATCCCCAGAATCTCCTACAGGACAGTCTGATGGAGGAATCTTCTCAGCTGAGGTTCCTCTTCCCAGAACCTGGCTTGCATCAATTAGACAAAACACTAACCAGCATAAGAATATGAGGGAACAGCCTCCTACAATTCATTCTACTTTTATGGCTAAGGGCTGATGCTAGTTTTCTTGGATCCGCAAGTGCTGTCTCAGAATTCACTGTACACTTGGCATCAAAAATTTCCTACTTCAGTCTCTCTAGGTGCATCCAGAAAATGGGCCTCTGACACCTGACGCAATGGATTTCAGACATTCTCTCCTGGTTACTCTAAAAGTGCAAAGCAGAGCTACACATTACCTGTCGCTACTGTGGTGTTCAGAGAACTGACAGCATTAGTAAGCATTCACAGTCTGCTGCAAATGCAACGTGTAATCTATTGTATGGATAGTCACAAATGGGAAGAACATTCCAAGACTTTTTATAATTTGCAAAGATGAGGAGGGAATTAAATGCATGCTTCTAAATAGTACATGAGTTAAAAGATAAACTCAGGCTAGGCTTTGGTGGCACATGCCTTTAATCCCATCACTCAGGAGGCAGAGGCAGGTGGATCTCTGTGAGATCGAGGCCAGACTGGTCTCCAGAGTGAGTGTCATGATAGGCTCCAAAGCTACACAGAGAAACCCTGTCTCGAAAAACCAAAAAAAAAAAAGATAAACTCGGGAAAATTAAAATTAGAACTGAATGAATATAAAAGTCAGATAAATCATTGGTCAGTGGGAAGTAAGTGGTGGTTAATGTCTGCCTTAGAAAGAAAAACAAACTAAGGTGTTCATGTCACGAAATCAGAAAAATACAACAAGATAAACCAGAAAAAGAGAACAAAGTATATAGGAGTATAAGCAATAAATTTAAAGTTTAAATATTAAATGATTGGAATGAAAAGTTGGTTTTGAGATGATCAGTAAAATAGATGATCAGTTCATAACAGTTGAATGGTGATAGAGGATGTCATTTAAAAATGCTGCCAGTCATGAAAAGAAGCCATAACTACAGATCCCATATTCATTAAGAGCATATTAGAAAATCTGCACATTCATGTTAATAACTTCCATGCAGGCTTGAGGGATGGGTGAGTTTATGAAGTGCTTATCTACACCCAGTGAACTGGATTCCCAGAAGCCATATGAAAATACCAGCCATGGTAGTGCATACTTGAAACTCCACATCTAAAGCAGCAGAGACAGGTGGGACCCTGTACTTGATGACTAGCTCTGGTTCTAACCTGGCATAGGGTAACCAGTGTTGGTCTTTCACAACACACTCTACTGTCATGCTCTGCCTCCACACTGGCCCAATAGTGGATGCCACATGGGTGGAAACTTCCCACTATACCCCATGATACAAAGCATTCTAACCAAATAAAAGCCCAGAACCATGTCTGAAATTACTTGTGCTTTCTACACAGTATTGTGAGTTGTGGCATTCCTTCAAAACTGGCATTTGTTGTAGCACAGTTCAAACACTTCCAATGACTCATAGGAATCAAATCTTCACAGAAGAAGGAGGAAGAGGTTGTTGTAATTTTTTAAAAGCAGCGATTGAGAGAGAGAGAGAGAGAGAGAGAGAGAGAGAGAGAGAGAGAGAGAGAGAGAGAGAGAGAGAGAGAGAGAGAGAGATGCCATGTGACTGAGTTCAAGAACAGCAAGAGGAGGTGTTTTTTATTAGGGGAAACGGATCATAAAATGGGGAGGGGAAGGAGACTAGCCTCAGGAAACAGGAGCAACAGCAGAGAGGGAAGAGAGATAGAGATAGAGATATAGATAGAGATAGAGATAGAGATAGATAGATAGATAGACAGACAGACAGACAGAAAGACAGATAGATAGATAGAGAGGTTGAAGGTGGGCAAGGCCCTTTTAAAAGGGAACCGAGTGAATATGCACTGGTGTTGTGCTTAGTAGCTGCAGCTAAGCATGTATCCTGTCAAAACTCCAAAAGCAGCCCAGTACAAATACCTAAATGCTAACAGAGGAGGAGGGGTAGGAGTCAAAGGAGAATCAAGGGTATTGATCTCCGGAAATGAAAATTTACACTCGGTAATACTTTAATAAATGTCAATAAAATCATTGCCACTAGATTCAGGGGACATTGTCATGACATTTTAAAACACATAGAACATTAGTCTTTACAAGTTGGCTAGAATTTGTGAACTGGGAAGCAGAACACACAGTCCTGTCAGTTTATTAATGGACAGGCTCAAAATGCCAACTGTTAACTCATTACAAAGACCAAGATATCTGTTTGCTTTCACATGTGTGCAAATAAACAATCAATAGACTGTTATAAATCATATAAAATATGGGATAATGGCTGCAAACAGCTATTACACATGCATATGCTTTACAATTGGCTAGACAGCACTGGATGACTCTTAACTCTGAAGCCACACACTCCCATTAGGCAAATCTTACTGATTATCAGTCCGGGTGGAAACCCTCATAGGCTCCTGAACCACATTACACAGGAACTGATGCCCAACAACAGAAGAAAATAAACAGGTCACCCACCCATCACTCCTGCTTCATGCATTTTACTTAACCAGCACAGAAGAAGTATGTACTGCTCTTAAAGTGAATCAAAGTTGAGGTCCCATGTCAGTTTGCTCACAGAGGTCTCTACCTCAATTCCAAGGGAGCTGATTCCCTCTTCTGGAATCTGAAGGCGCCTTCACTCAAGGGCATATACAGAGAGGAAAATAAGATTTAATCATTTGTCTTCATTGTCTGTTTCACTGTTGTTTGGAATTATCTAGGACACATACACACCTCTAGCTATGTCTGTGAAGGCATTTCCAGTGAAACTGAGGATAGAAGAACTAACCTCATGTACATGGCACCATTCTAGGGGTTTGGGGTCCCAAAATTATGTAAAAATTAGAAAGCATGGGGCTGAGAAAATGGTTCAGTTGGTAAAAAATCTTGCTGTTCTAGCATGAGGATATGAGTTCAAATCCATTCCACCCACACAATATATAAGAAATGACTGTACATACTTGTAATCTCTATATTGGCAGACAGAGATGGGCAGATAGTAAGAGCTTGCTGTCCAGAAAGCATAGTTGGAAAAGTGGATTTCTTGTTCTATGAGAAATCTATCTAAAAAGAAAAATGAAGGCTCAGATTGATAAAGGCAGGTATTACCACTGGCTTATACACAGTCTCATACACCCATACACTAAGTATACCCCCATATATGCATGTACCACATACAGACGCCGAAGCTTAAAATGAAGAATCTAAAAAAAAAAAAAACAACGCAAA